GGAACAAAAATAGCCACCAAATCACATTCCAATATTTAACATTATAAAAACATGTACGTGTATGTGTAATATCAATGCACAGCTCACATACTGCGTTTCAACAGAAAGAACTAGTTTATAGGTAAAGGTGTTATGTCATTTCTTGGGAATTAAGTTTCACAAGGTCTGGTGAAGGAATATAACTAATTCTTTTTTAATGAAATGATAAAGTTTCTGAATTTCTCAGTGTCATCAGGATGTTGATGCAGTTATTAACATTGAATAGCCGTAGACTCTTTTTTTGCGAAAGTTTGCTTCTTTTTAATTGTGCTTAAAACTTTGACCATGTAAATAGAATGATTTGTACAGTTTCATGTAAAAGCAGTGTTGTTTAAACAAAAGGTTTAAATTTGACAATTGGTGCTTACACCAACTCTAAGTGTAAGAAATCAAAAGAAGAGAATGATTTATATCATGAGTGTCACCGTATTTGAGAAAATTCAAGTACTCCCATGGTCAAAGATTTTCAGAAGGGCATTGTTATAATGAAAATGAGATAAAGTATTTGCATGAACTATAAAATATTCTTGGAAGACCTCTCAATAAGGCTAAGCCTTGTGTCTCAATGTAGAAATGCACATGTATTTCCATATTCATGTAATTAATGAAACAGAACTATATACATGTACTTTTTATCCAAATAATACTTTCTTCCATTGGCTTGGATGTACATGTAGCAACTCTGATTAAGTAATAGGGTGCACTAGGCACTATATGGTGGTGGATTGTCTGTTTCATCCTCGTCTTTTTGTGTCTCGGGTAACATGACTGTTAATCTTTCCGCTCTTCCTTCTGGTCCTAATACTCTCGTAACAGCGCTAGCTGATTCTGTCCCTGGTGTCTGGAGGTGCTGATTTGAAAAGGGTAATGTAGTGTTTGTAATGGTATTTTGCGGTGTTGCCGGTTGCTGATTTGTCAAAAGTATTACAGGGTTGGTAATGGCAGGCTGTGGTGCTGGCGTTTGAATGTTTGCCGAATGAGGGATAAGTATGAAATGCTGACCTGTTAAAATGGTACATGTACTCCACTGACAAGTTCCCGGCTATCAATTTTACAGAAGTTATGAAAATTTCTAATTCGTGCTTAATTCTGTATCTAGGTCTCTTATGATTGTAAACGTATATATAAAAAACCATCTGAAGTTGATATGTGTTTTTTTGTTTTACAACATTTATATCATTAAAATCAAAAGAATAGAATATAAGAATAATAAGAATGAAATGCCTTTAATCAGTTAATAATGAATTATGGAATTTTTTAACAACAATGATAAAGATTTCTTTTAAATTATCGGCATTACAGAATTTACCTAATTGAGAGTAAGCAACATTCGGATAAGCTTGTAAATATAATGCCGCGTTGTTTTGTCTTCTTTGTCTTCCTTTACAAGCAACATAGATAATTAGAGACACCAATAGTCCAATTCCAGCAAAAGTTCCATAGGCGATTCCAAATCTATCAAGCAGTGATCTGAAGCGACAATTGCAAGAAGAAATGATATAGCTCCTATGACTAGGTAGAAATTTTATTCTTTATTTAATACATCCATTATTTCGGAATATCAACATTACACAGCTGTCATCCTTCTTAGTTCTTTATGAAATATCTGTCTACATGAAGAACTTCATTCATTTCAGACGGAAGACGTGCATGTAAATTTCAACAATTCTTTGTTGTTCCTAAGCATGCATTGCTTTACCTAGAAAGAATATCAGAAATTGGGGGGAGGGGGTGAATGCTAAGACCTCTCCCTGTCATTCGCTTGTTTCAGGTACTACGTGTCTGGGAGGTAAGCATAAACACCAGAATGACAGATTAATTTATACCTCACACGTATACTTACAGAGAATTCGTACAAACGTAGGATGGAGCTCCTGATGCGTAATAGCTGTAGCAGTCTGTTCCCGCTTCACAGACAAGAGTAAGACAACTAAGTGCTTCAAAACAAACAAAAATTTAGAAACGCAATAATGCTGCACATGTTTCATTTTTAAATTCACCGAGGTTGATGTAAGTACACCAGAAATTGAATTAATATTGAATATGAAAATTTAGCATATTGAATAAGGTAAAACTTCTGAAAATGGATTAATTGAATTTACCAGAGTGGGTAAAATCAAACAATTAGAGAATGTATGAACAGAACACGGAAGTGAAGCCATCTTTTTTTTCCATTTTCAACCATATAGATACGTTATGAATTTAGTATGAAATAATGAATAGCATTGTAGATTTATGTCTTCACTTAATTAACTCATGTTTGAATGATAAAGTGTAGTTTTTCATGATCATGTCTTACCCAAACAGAAAGTTGTCAACATTTTTCTTCCTTAATTCAAGAACCTTATACATAAATGAATTCTATATATCGATCATCTGGTGATTTAAATTGCTCAAGGGAGTCATTACAAACAAGATTGAAAAAATACAATGCCCGTGTTCAGAGAATATAGGTCAACCTGACTTTTTACATGTGACTTACTGTCAATCTAATTCTGATTAAATATGAACATTCATGCGTACCTGACTTGTCTATCTTCATCTCTTAATAGTATATACATTGATAAAGACTTTTTTAAAAATGAAAATTCCCATTTGTGTCTTTTTTTCTGATTCACCTAAATGTGCCATCGATTAGTTTTTGTCTATATGCAAAATTTTATTTCAATGTTACCAAAATACTGTCTCTAGGGATGGGCGATTTTATCGGTATACCGGTATATCGGGATTTTTTTTATTGCGCGATATGTATCGTGATACAGATACTAAAATATCCGTATTTGATATGTAATTATAAAATCCGGAAATAATTTATTTATTTATTTTGGGGGGGGGGGGTAACCTCTTGAATTACAATTACAGAGAATGTAAAAAAAAATTGTAAAACAGTAAAGCATCAGTAAAATTTAGGACAAAAATCTTTAAAAATCCTCTCCTAAAGAACAGCCGGTCATATTCATACAGAAGCATCCATATGGTATTGTAAAATTGAGTTTGTTCAAATTATAGCGCCGAGGGTAGGTTGGGGCCACAATACTAAATCAAAGTTTTACATGGAGATATACTGAGTATTGCGAAAATGTACTTAAGCTGTGTCATGGCTAGTCATATGCATGGTAAGTGTCCATATAGAAATGCAGAATTAAGGTAGTACACAAAAGATAGGCCAAATCTTTCCTCAAATTCAATTTTTTTGAAACTTTGAAATTTTGTTCTAGTGTACAAAATCTCTCTTTATATGTAATTTGAAAGAAATTCAACCGGCCAATTTTTGTCCACATAGCTTGAAATATGGCCTATCACCTCGTCTAAAAAGATTGTGAAATCAGACATTGCACTTTAGAATATGCATTTTTTTAAAAAAAAAAAATACCGATCCATTTATTGCAAATTTGAGTGATGCTTATAATAAATACAACCTTTCTGTAACTTAATTTCAGTAAATTATATTGATATTGGTTTTACAAGTTTTACATGTTACATGTCCAGGAACCTTAACGGTCACCTGAGTATGATACAACACTGTAAAGGATCCATAAAATAATGTGAAGAGGTTTGAATATGATTTTGGCTACATCCTTAGAACCCAAGGGAGCAGAGACTTTTTATTTTCCAATTTTGTTTCCCTTTACTCATATGAACTGTATATACGGAAATTGATTTAAACTGTTTCAACAGTTCCGGAGAAGCTGTAAACGTTCTCAAAGGTTTATTACTGATGCATGATTGACAACGCACTATGACAGACAAATTCAAAGAATTAATTCATTCACCTGATTATCTCAGCTGACCTAAAAATATGGGGAAAAAAATGGGAAAAATCTGTTGGAATCTGACGAAGAAAACGAAGGTCATGGTTGTTATATTAATGTAGAAACATTCACGTTTTTGTAGAATCAAAGATGGTCAAATCAAGGCCCCAAGGGGTAGAGTTGAGCCACAATAGATCAAAATATAAGATGGTAATATATAGGGACATCTTCATTCGAAGAACAACAGGGCCAGATATTAATATGAATATTCACGTAGTGTAGATTCAACTTTTATCAAATCATGCACCGGGGGCCACAAAAGAATATCAGTTTTCAAATGGTATTGTTTTTAAAAAAATCATCTGAATTACGGTAGGCATATAAATAATCTTAATGTTCAAGGTTAGGGCTACAATTAGGGACCGAGTTGTTTTTTTTTTTTTTACATGGAAATAGGTAGCTATAGGTACAAATCTTTTTCAAGAGTAGCCAGGCCATACTATATCATATCAATATTGAAACAGCATCTATGACTGTTTATTAATTTTTATTCCAATTATGAACCTTTGGGTTGAGTTTGGGCTAAAATCTGGGATCAGTTTTTACATTAAATGCTAGAGTACATGTTAAAAAATCTATTACAGCAAGGACATGTTAGTCATTTTGATATTAAAGCACCACAATGTTGTGTTGGTTTAAGCTGCTTAAGTCATAACCCCTTGAGCATAGGTAGGGGCCACAACATTGAATCAAACTTTTTAATTCGAAAAAAAGGAGGAAACAATCTTAAAACTCTTCCTACTTGTATGAAGAACAATGCACCAATGATGAAAATTCTATATATTGTATCTGATATTATTGCTGTCGTTTTAAAATCATTTATATAAAGAGATAGAAATATCTAATTCGTAACAGGTAAGAATAAGGTGCTTATATTTTTGGTCAATTGTTTTTTATAACAATCAAAAGAAAAAAGATGTTACTATTTTTGTATTACTTTTGTTTTGAATGAACTAAATTATTGTCTCCTTTGCTGAACTCTGGAAAGACATTTTTATAATGTTCTTTCGTAGAAATCTGTTTTATTATATAAAGAATCTTTTATAGGACAGTAGAGAAATACTATTACCTATTGATTTCCTTAAATGTCGAAAATTGCAGCCCTTTTTCTTTAAAAGATATTGACAAAGAATTTATATATATTATGACTTGATTTTCATTCATATGTTAGTTTATTAGAGTATGTTTCTTAGACAGCAGCAGGCAAAATTACATTCAAATATGTTAACACATGAATGAATAACAAATAATTGTGCAAATGAATACACATCATTTCATAATAGATATTGCAAACCTTAAACACGATCCTTATCATATCTATGACTTGGACGACATATCGTCAAGATATTGTACTATATTTTGAAGGCAAGTGAAGATTTCTTTGCAACTTTGCATTCCTCAACATACATGTAGTTGCATGTCATTCACATTACCACATTAATTTCAATAGCTGAGACAGTTTTGGATTCGTTCACTTACCTTTGACGTCATACGACGTAGGTTCTACATTAAGGAAAAATTATAGGCCCTATATAATTATTCTTTTCTAAAATCTGTATTCACTATCAATTGGAATTAACATTCCAAAAATAAAAATAAAAACGTGTAAAGTTAATTTCAAAACATCCATTCGAAATTTATATTATCTAGAATGTAAGGTAATCAGACTACGATTTTATGAAGAAACAGGAATTTCTTTTGGCTACTGGATAGATTTACAGAGTTATGCCCCTTTTCTTCTTAAATTCTTATCTATCAGGTAACTTAATTGCACTAAAATTCCTTCTTTCATTTTATCCGATTTTGATGGATATTTTACTTCATTTATTTTTGTACGTTAGATTAAATTCATAACAAAATAATTTCTGTTGCAATTAGTTTGACGTTTGGCCTACATGCTTGCCTAATTGACTCGACTACCAAAAGAATATAGAAATGATTTTGTATGTTTTAGATTGTGAACATATTCAAAAATATCATAGCAACAATACAAAAGAACATTTCAAAAGATCATTGAAGTAACATTTTATAGTATGTGAACAAATATAAGATACTCTTGGGAGAGCACTCAAACAGGCTTAGCCTCCTGCCCAAGTCCATATAATGTACATGTGTTTACTTAAGGTATTCCTTCGCTAATAGCCTCAGATTCAATAAATTTGAATACATAACAGATGTGTATGGGTGGAATACTCAGTATATATAGACATAATTCCCATTTATCACTATTATCATGTAAGAATGGAACGTGTCCTAATTTATGATCTTGACCTTTGTTGAAGAGTTATCTCCCTCTTTTTTTAAGTAATAATAATTAATTTTAAAAAATCTATACGGTAAAAAAATTGTTTTCAATTATCATTCTATTTCTAATGATTTAATGCATCTTTCCACCACAGTATTCATTGATATTTTTATTATTTGAATTTTTATTTTTAAAATATCGCTTGTCTTCATAGACTTCAATGCAATTTCTGTTAATTAATTACTGCTTAGATAATTACGTTTTTGAAATTTTCTCTTGGTAAATCCTTTTCTACTGTAAAAGGCTTTGATTTTATATCAGAGTATTATATACATGATGGATATTTCAGGATAGAGAATTAGGTCCTATTAGGGATGGAAAACCTTAATTAAATATTGAAACAAATTCATGGATACTATCTTCCTTAACGTATTACTATGTACACCACATAAGATGAGTTAACAAGCGCTTCTACACACAATATGGCGGTGGGTTGTTTGTTTTATTTTTGCTTTCTTGAGTATCAGGTGATATTGGTGTGGTTCCTATTGCCCCCATAGTACTTGTTGCAGCTGGTTCTGCCCCTGATGTCTGACCTTGCTGGTTTAAAAAGGGTATTGCAGGGCTGTTGATGGTAGTCTGCTGTGCTGGTGCCTGAATGATTCCTGGTTGCGGAGAAAATATCACCTGCTGACCTGTTTAAAAAAAAAGTACATGTACATGTACGCCACTAGCAAATTTCAATATAATAATTTTTCGAAAGTTATGAAATTTTCCAAATCTGTTTAATATTATGTTTATTACGTAACGGTCTTAAGTATGCGTATGTATAAGCAACTATCTATTATTGATAAAAGTACTGTTTTACAACGTCGGTAAAATCATATTTCATTAAAATTTAAAATAGTAATAATACAAAGAGAAGAATAATTTGCTAAATCATGACCAGTCGATGATTAATAAATGACAATATTTTCATTTGAAAAAAAGATCATTGAGAGGAGTTTCATCCAAGAATTTACCTGACTGGGCGTAAGCGACACCTGGATAACCAGGTTGCAGAAGTATGGTTGAGTTATTTGGTCTTTGTCTACTTTTGCAGGCAATAAATATAATTAAAGCTACCAATAGTCCAATTCCAGTTACAGTTCCATAGGCAATTCCAAATCTATCAACGTATGACCTGAAAAGAAAAAAAAATTACAGACGGACGGGCAGCTAGATAGACGGACCACGGACAATGGGTGATCAGAAAAGCTCACTTGAGCTTCCAGCTCAGGTGAGCTAAAAAGGGATCGGAAATTATACACTTCCTATTGACACATACGTTAAAGAGATTGTTATCAATTCGAAAAAGCTGCCCTATTTTGACCTTATAAACTGCCGATAAACTATTTATACAATCAATCTGATTAAAATCAATTTTTGCTACGCTCCCAAATTGTAATAATACTGTCAGAATTTCGGGGCGTAATAACATAGAACTGATTTTAATCAGATTATTAGTACAATGTTCAAGGCTTGAGGGCGAATTACATTGTAAAGTAGTGGATTACATTACCATTACCTCAAGAATTTGGGCATTAAATTACTATTATCATAATGATTACTTTAATTTCTTAAAGTAGTGCATTACATTACCATTACTTAGTAATGCATTACCATTACCATTACTTTTGGGGGGGTTTCAAAAATAAAAATGCTATACTTTGTAACAATTTCATAAACATGCATCCCACCCTTTAAGAACTAAAAATGATGAATGATAATTCAAATTTTATTTCAAGTACAAGTACTTGTATTTATTACACTGTAAATAATTTACATATCTCTTTATTATTCATAGGAAGTTCAAACTTTTCAATTGCCAATAAGAAAAAAAAAAACATGTACAATATGCACTTTTTGTGTAACTATTGATGTCATAAAGCAATTTAATTTTTGGGCAATTTACTCCCTCCCCAAAACTAAAACTAAACTTCATATGACATTTAAAGATTATTTGGATGTAGTACCTTAAATTATGTCAAAAATTAACTGCATTGACAAACTTGCAAATAGGGTTGAACAGTATATGTACATTTTGCTCTTCTAGCAGTAGAATCCATGTCTTCAATACCTTTTGGTACAATGGATTTGTCATGGTTAGCTCAAGCTAGACCAGCAATGTTTCATATACAGACAGTCAGAAGAAAGGGGTTGGTTTTTGGAGTGCTTCTCACACGATACATTGTTTTAATTGTTTCATACCCATAGAGGCATCGTGTGTTTTGTTGACACTCTATTCAAAAGGTGGCAGTTATCAGTTTACAGTGTACATTAATTACAAAATGTAGTATGCCTCATACCAGAATTATTTTTAAAGGATATTTAGCATTACCCCAAGCTTGCAATGTACCGGTATTTGCTTTTCATATGCGTCCATCAAAAGCAAACCAGAGGTCACTGATAAAATGTGAAGTCAAAGAAAAAGTAGACTTGCTCAAGTCTCTTTGTTTAAGTGCTCTCTTTGATTTAACTATGAGAGATAGCAGAAGAAAAACAATACAAAATTGAACAATGATAGTATTAATGTTAATAGTAATAATAAAAACAAACAACAACAACATAGAGACGTGAGCAAGTCTAAGAAAAAGATTCCATTTCCAAAAAATGCATATGAATGAAATATCAACAAATGTGTCATATCCAGTCTACTATTGACGTTTGTTCTCGGAGTAAATCAATTGAACTATAGTGACCCGCTTATTTGGTCCAAGTACATGTAGTGACGTCACGCCAGTACATCCCCGTTATCGATCGATTCGATTTTCGCTTGATTGGATTTTCAAAACAGGTAAAAATAGGCACTTTCAAAGGACGATAACTCCATTAATTGTGGGTAGATTTCGATGCATTTTTTTCTCCGATTTTATTTCGCCGTAATCTTAAATATTTAAAGGAATTGCGATCCATTTCTGTTACCCTTTAAATTGTTTCTAGGTATGAAAACACTAGTGCACATGCATAGAATCCTAACCTTCTGATATGAATTAATTAATTGAAATCTAAACAGGTATAGTTCATGGCATTGCACAGAGAAACAATTCATCATTTAATGTTTGGAATATTTTAATTAAATTATAATAAAAAAAATTTGGCAGGATACATTTTATATTACAATTAATGAATGATATTTGTGAAATAATCGGCGTATTTTTCATTTGGACATAATGAGTGATTTGATTGACGTTCCCAGCGAGGGTTTTTTCATTATATTGCAAGAAGTTTGAATTTGTTAATTTATTTATTCAATTCACTGAAAACTGGTTTCGAATAAACCATATGGACATCCAATTTCATTGTAACTTACGGTGGTGTTTGCAGTCGATAAAACAACTACAGAAACTGCACCACACAATCATTTACACTGCTATTTAGAAATACCAATCTTTGAATAGAATTGTCATTTTATGAATATATATACTCATTAACAAACCATATTAAAAGAATAAACAAAAAATCATCAATGAGAAAATTCAACTAAAGTACCTTAAACATTTAATCTCAAAAAAATTATATCAACTGTTACATGATAAAGAATTGAATTCAATCTGTTTTTTCTTCCAGCTAGTATGTTTGTCAACTGAAAATTATTTTAAAATAATAAAAATTGAGATATTTTAGAACACGTTGAAATTACCAAATTTAGGAAATATAATTCTTCAAAATCTTCAAACATTTGATTGCAAGTCTGTCGGGAGTAGAAAGGATAGCATAGGAAGTTTTATTAAGATTAAAAAAAATTTTGCATTAATTAATATTCATTGTCACTTTATTTAACATGTACATGTAATATGTACCTCTGCAAAAGATGGGAAATTACTTAAAACTAGTAATATAAGATTTTTCTTATCATTATGTATTATAATTATATCATAATTTTTTACGGAGATTCTTTAGAAAGAGACTCAATTTACTGCATTTAGTATTAGAGCAGTAGATGATATTAAACCTCTGGGATATTTTTCCTTTAACTTCATTCTAGATATAGTGGTATTGTCTGTAAATGTTTCAAATTATTTTCATAAACAAGAATTCAAACGTAGAAATGTGAAGTTTGAAATAAAGGTAAATTTTGTAATAGAACTGAAAATTAAAATGACGTGTTTTTTTTTTTTAATTGATGCCAATTTCCTTTTCATCTGACCAATTTTATCTGCATTCATCCTGTATGGAATTAAACATAAGAGTCAGATCTAGAAAAATATACCGATCAATAATTTTAAGACTTATACTTACATGTAATATCTACAGGTGTAAGAGGTGTATCCATTATAGGAATAGGTGTAGCAGTATGACCCTGCTTCACAGACAAGAGGAAGACAACAAAGCGCTACAAAAAAAAAAAAAAAAAAAAAAGAATTATGAGAACGCCATATTGGTGCTATACTTGGATACTTGGATTTACCCCTGTATATATCTAAAATACACAAACAAACAAATGAATGAATTAAAAAAATCAGCTTTCTAAAAACTTAACATACAGAATAATATAAAGCTATTTAAGGAATTTATTAGAGAGAGTTCTAAAAATTAAAGCATGACATTTCCGTTCTGTATATTACAAAACAAGGAAGTGAATCTATTTGTTTATTCTTAATTTTTAGGCATAAAGAAATTCATCTTATTGATTTAATATGAAATAATAAATATACCAGTAGATATATATCTTAAAAACCATTTCATTATGTCAGGTAAACAAGCGTATAATTTTATATAATCCATCACAACATACCTAAACAAAATGTCAGCATTTTTCTTCCTTGATTTGACAAAGTTTCACGTCAACGAATTCTATTTTTAAATCATCAGGTAAAACTGCAAAGGGAAGTTAATCATTGTAGAATTTAAAGGACTCGATAGAATATGCCAACCTTTTATCTTGTGTAATGCACACTTGATTTATCTCTCTTAGTGCAGCCTGTAAATGAACAGCATCGTATCCTTCGGAAGTTGCCTCGTCGGTGAACCGCCGCACCTATGATTTTTTTCTTAATTTTTTATTACAGTTATCAATATTTGAATTTATCAATTGTCAGTTTGTAATTTCAAATAATTGATTTATAATTACAAATAAATAATTCTTATTACAAATAACTTAATTCTTTGCGAATTATAACAGATTACTAAATTGTAATGACAACTTAATTATTTGCAGTTTGTAATCTTAAATTATAATTTGTAATTACAGAAAAACAACATGTTAATAACAAATATTTACATTTCCAATGTCTTTGTCTGAGATAAAATTACAAATTGTAAAAATACTTTATTTCTACATAAATCCACTGGTTCATAGATAGGCGCGGTTAAAAAAAAAATCACGTGCGGGGCGGGACAAATAGAGACAGAAGCGGGGCTATTAGCACGGGAATTTGCAGAATCAGGAGCATGTAAATATAAGGAATAACTGTCAGATTTTTTGGATTCATGACGATGATCAATCGATTGGCTTGCGTGATAATTTTATGCATAAACGCCTTCGGCGTTTATGCAAATTATCACGCAAGCCACTCGATTAATCACATCATGAATCCAAAAAATTAGACAGTTATTCCTTAAATAAAATATTTTGTAATTTCAGATTCATACTTAAATGTTTGTATATCAAATTCAGAAAATGTATTTTGCGCTCCCCATCTGCATTTTACAATCTTCTTTGGAATCCATTTCAATGTACATATGTTTATATCATTAATTTGTTTTTGTCACCTTTCCTTTTCTCAAACGAGACCTTCAAATTAAACTAATTCAAAGAAAATAGTTCATAAGACAAATAAGACGTGTCTTGCAATGTTTGATGCACGTGTAATCCGTGATACAATTTAGTTGTTCCAGCGCATGCTCTCAAACCGATCGAAAATATTTGTTGTTATCTTGTGCATGTGTGTGAGTTTGATCGTGGGTTTAGAAAAACATCGTTCACAGATGCTGCTGGATTTTTTCATTTACGTATAATGGCTTATGGACCGGTTCCCGTTGATAAGAGGGTAAGCATATATATTTTTACAGCAAAATGTTTTATTTCAGGCATTTTTAAATAAAAAACTACGTTGTGAGTAAATATTTTAGCATTTTACAATACGTAGTAAGTAACGACGATATGCTGAGACATATATACGTGGATCTAGGATTTTTTACCGGGAAGGGGGGGGGGGGAGGGGTTCCATCTCCACTCCTCCCAAAAATCTTTGACTAGCACAAGAAAACCCTCCACCCCACCCCACCCCCAAACAAAAAAATATCACAAATAAATGATCTGTCCACATCTGAATAAAACCTGTTCCGTTGGGTTGGGATTACTTTATTTCCTGCTCTCTTTACTCTACAAATTTCATTTTGTTGGAAATTCCAAGGAAAGGGGATTCCGGACACCCCCACACCCGCTAGATATTTGCATGCCAGAGGTATAGAAAGAGAGCACTGCCTTCTTGTGAGAGCATTAAAAGTGGTTATCCCTTTTTGTCTTTTGGGTATACATATAGGCATTGTCACATGTTGGGGGGGGGGGGGCGTTTCAGCCGAGTAGATGTATCTTGTTTGGGGACAAAATCTTTGACATCTACTATTGTCTACAACTTCGACCAAAAAACAAAGTAGGGAATTTCGAAGGGAGAGGCACTGTCGAGGAAGTTTATCTTCTACTTTTATAGTGGAGTCAAAACCCTTGACGATTAATATTAAAAAAAAATGCAATTTATTATAATTTATGCAATTTATTTACTCCCCCCCCCTCCCCCCCCCCCCGACTACGTCTCAGCTTACTACTTGATAATAGTTAAAGTTATAAATAAACAATTTATTGTTTATCTCTTTATATTTTGTATTGAAGCGCCAAAGTGAGTATATATATGCTACATGTAATGTTATTGAACCCATTGTAATTTAATGGAACTGCATGATTCCAATCTTGATGCAGTATTTTGGACAGAATTATGCATATTGATACACTCTTACTTACAACAAAAAGTACTCAGTTTTTAGCTTGATACATGTAACTACCAAATAAATAAATCACTCCACCCTGCTGATAGGTTTCATTTCAGTAAAGCTCATGTGTGGGCGGAGGTTTGGCAACAGAATTCGCTGGTGCGTTCTCAAGAGAGATAAGATTGAGAATCACATAAAGAAATCAGGGGGAAATTTTGGAAAGAATCAGGAAACATTTTACACAGTTTTAGACTTGAAACAATATTCATTCGATAGCTAATGCATGAATCGAAATATGAAACATGTTGGAGATCTGATAGGCTTAAAAACTTATACGAAAAAAATCTGTAGATTAATAAGATTTCCAGGAAGCTGATGTTCATATGTACACAACAGCAGTACTCAGACGTTTTGATATCAACATGATTACAGGACTCAATTAAATGCTAGTATGATCAACAATAGGACAAGCTTTTCCCTATGTCAGTGTCCGTCGCAGTTCCATTCAGGTTAATTTCTAGGGTGGAGGTGTATGCTAATTAATTTTTGTGGCAGGTTGAGGTGAATGAATGACCCATGTCATGAAATAATGCATATCATTTAGAATGTCTTATTTTTGAAGCGCCCAGGCATTAATTCTAGAACAAAACGTTGTGTTGTCAACGGCATTGTTTCGAAACAGATTTCAAAAGATATAATTAAAACTGTAGGACGAATACAAAAAGAGCTTCCTAAACTGTTCCGAGCCATCGTATTTTTTACCAGAAGCTAAGACATTTTAATTTGCACATTAAGGTTGAATTCCGGATCCCATTAATCCCTAAACACCAGCGCTGTTTGAAATGTGGAGACAACTGTCCAGGCCTTGAACTTCATTACTGGAGGTAATTAATTTTCATTAAAGCTGATATACCTTTCAGTATATATAACATTCTTTATTTTAAGGACAGATGATACCAAACACGTATTTTACAATTGATAAGTCAATCGAATAACAGAATTGTACAAAAAATATATTTATTGTATGATACAAAATGCATTTCAGTAGTTTTAAATGGTGAGTTAGACTTGTAAATAATATAACAAAAATTAAACTATTAAACTTCTTTTTGTGCATTTTATTCAAAAACCGAGAAAGTCTTTAAGTTGCAAATTGCAAAACTACATGTAGTTCTCTTAAGGTATGAAAATTATCTTTATAAAAATTTTCTAATGAAATTATTGAAAATGTATTATTAAAGTCCGCAATTCAGAAGATACATGTATAATTATATTGGAAATAATATATTTTTGTTAGCACTGATATTAAAGATTTTGTGACGAACAAAGCACAAAATAAATGTTCAATAGACCAGTAAGAACCATTAAGAGGAGGGGGCGAAGCTTGACACTGGACCGAACAAAAATTCCTTGAATACGCCCCCTTTAAAAAAACAATGTTTTCATTATATATAGTATATATATATATTGGAATAATCGTTTTCAGTTGTGTCCCCGGTTGTTATTTAAGACCTTTTTTTTTTTAAATTGTTACCAAAAGTCCGATATTTCAACAGGCAGAACTGGTTTACAAATAGTATACTGCGTACAGACACCATTTTTATCAACGTTAAATGGATTTAACTCATTTGAACTTTTAGAAAAATCTGCAAGAATTGCCGCTGTTCCAGAGAAGACCACGACCTCCATGGAAACGAGAGTGATGATGGCCAGCCAATAGGATTGTTTCTGGATAGTATACCACGCCCAACTAGTGACAGCCAATCAACAAGTAGACCTCGCACAACTGACCTTCAGTCCTTCACGTCCCAAGGTTCTGCGAACGGTCGTTTCACGGGGAATTCTGGGACAGCTTATGTAGACGACCCCAAGACTCTTACAGACATATATGGATTTGAGACAGATGTTGTGTTATCGAGGGTTATCTCAGAAAATATAGTAAGTGTTAAATCATCATTACCTTTGAGCCAATGGATTACCTGTACTGTAACATACATTTTATATGGAATCCGTAGTCAAGGATAACTTGTTACGAGTGTATATATTAAAATTAATGTCTCTATAGTCAAGTTTATATGTCATAACTAACTGGTATTTAAACAAACAGTTGATAATTGCAAAGTACAGATATTTAACGTTTAAGTTAATTAAAGACGGATTTAGGGGATAGAGTTAAGGGAAGAGACCATGCACCCGCTCCTCGAACAATGCTTATGAACCAATGCCTAATTTTACAAATTATTATATCAGTATTAAAATGCGATAAATTGAAAGTATATCAGAATGATAATAATGGACTTTTTAATGACGTTCGCAATGTTGTTCACAAATTTTTGTTGACAAAAATAGTTCGACCTTTAACTTGTTTTTCCGCCATTATCAGACACGTAGACATACATGTAGAATCGTTTTTGAAAGCGGGACCAGCCAGAAAGAAATTAACAACTAAACTAAGAGATCTTTAAAAAGCAAAGAAAAAAATGTCCGAAATCGAAAAAACCCATTTTGTGTTGGTGTTTCGGGTCCAACTTTTTCCACCTAACTATTTCATTAAGACATTACCATGGACAATCTGACAACACTGAAACAAAACGTTGAGGGTGAAGGGCAATCGGCCTTTCAATTGACATTAATTTTTCAATTAAGAGTTAAAGGTTATGTTTCGGAAAAAAAGTGATAGGGGATATGCCCCTTCCCCCAATATTATATATGTGTCTCTGATTATGAATCAAAACTGACTAAAATGATTTTTAAAGCTCATGTTATGTAACCAAGATTCCTAATCGATACTTTTACCAGAGATCACAGAAATATATATCGATGATGCCTCCAGATAAACAGTTTTTCGCCGCCCAGCTAAGGAGGAAACAACTCCAAAAACAACTCCCCCTCCATGACCTTCACCCTAAATTCTGCAGCAGCCTAACCGAAAACGAACTCTTCAAATTCCAGAAGTTTTGTAACAAGCGGAAGATGAAGGCAGCGGGAGTGGGGCGGATCATGGAAGTTAAAGAGGCGACCAATTTTGTAGGTGATCATAGAATTAACATTTTTTTGCTAAAAAAGTTTAATATGTTTAACGATCATTATGAATGAGTGATCGCAGTTTGCTTTGATTTCAAAAGTGATGATTTCTTGCATATAAGAAAAATTGAAAAATTAATTGTTACGTGAATGAAAATACAGAAAGATAACAATTAAATTTAAAAAAAAAGCTTTAGAAGACTTAAAAAGTAACTGTATGCAGGCCAGGTTCATTGTTATACTTACATGTGTACCAAAACACACAGGACACCAATACATGTAAGCTTGTTTACGAGGTTCAATAACTTCTCCGTTAAGTCAAACACAGCGTGTGTTTAATAACTCATGAACAGACGGCAAATTATCTGATTTAAACATGTGTCTTTAACATCAGAAGCAGATGCATTACAATGTTTTCTCAGTCAAACCCATAGCAGAAAGGTCTCGAAGAGATAGTGAGCTAATTAAGGGGTCTTGCTTTTTTTTTATCCAGAATATTCCACAAACCAATAATTTTCGGAGGGGAAAAAATGTGGCACTATTAATAATACACTGTAGTTTAAATATATATATAGTCAGTCACATGTACAAGTACTAGTTCTGGAGATGTACAAACATCAGAGAACGACGCATCTCCATCATGAAAAACCCTTAAAAATAAATAAAGCATTTGATAAAACTTCTATTTGCGTCATAAAGAAAACTGACGATTCACATATCCATACGTACGCCGATCAAAGATTTTTTTTTTAAACACAGTTAAGCCAATTTAAACGAAAAGGGTATTGTGAATTCATGCTTACAACAAACTTGCACGTGTATAATGAACTCGATATAACGAATTACAGGTTTACAACAGGTGTTCATGGCGATTAGCTTTAAGCCTGTTTTACAGGATATTCTACACATTGTTATTTTACAGAGGTGTCATCGCTGCATCAAGGACATAAGTACCGGTGGATTCTGTGTTTCCACTGACCATTTTGGATCTGCAACAGCGTGGCATCCAGGCTGTTTCACATGCGCAACCTGTAACGAGCTTTTGGTGGATATGGTTTACTTCTGTAGAAACGAGGAAATCTACTGCGAACGACATTATGCCGACACTATATACCCACGATGCGCTGCTTGTGATGAGGTAATTTCATTACCATTCATTGAACACTGATGTAAAGAGATATTGGAAAGGTAGATTAACAGATCCTATATTAATGCAGAAGTGATCTTGTACACTGATTGAATATTATACTGTCTTCCTATCATTAAAATCATAAAACATGAAATACTAAAACAAAAACAAAAATTCATTTCAATTAACTTTATACACAGACTAATCTTTTGAAAATAATCAAAAAAAAAAAAAAAAAAAAAAAATTCTTTGAATTTTGGGATTGGAATCTGATATATAATTCTGTCCTTTCAGTATTTGATTTTTTATTATCCTTTTATATGTTTGAATTACAGATCATTCTCGCTCGTGAATACACACAGGCTGAAAAACAAACGTGGCACGTGGAACATTTCTGCTGTTGGAACTGTGATGCGCCATTGGCTGGGCAAAGATATATCGCCAAGGACAGCAACCCATTCTGCATGATATGTTTTGATACACTTTATAGCAAGGTACGGCCAAGATATCAAAAACATCGACTATTTTGATTTAAAGATAGATAAGGATGAAATCAATTCTTGTTTGCTTATAGACCACTATAACGATTTAGATAATTACAGAATATTGATTTCAGATTTTATAGATTTAATTGATACTAATGCACTCTTAGAGAATTAATCCCTCTGCCAAACGCTTTTACGGAAAAAAATGATTTATTTTTCAATGATTTATTTTGATTTTATAAGAGAAATCAAAGAAAGAAAAAAAAAAAAAAAACATCGGAGACCGACCATTTTAAACGAGTTGTCTTTCTTTGTGCGGTTTCTAACCGTTGCATCCACATCTCATAATCTGTGTTTTCCTTGCAAGAGTGCACATCTTTTCTCCAATTTCTTATATTCTCATTTTTTGAGACATATTCTGGAAAAAAATATAAGACGAAAAACACTGTGAAATAAAAGATGAGAGTATGTACGATAATTAAGTTAGAGAAATAATCATATACATTATGTATTTCATTGTCGATGATCTCGGAAGAAAACATTTAAAAAAAAAAAAAGAACACATGCAAAATGTGTGATGTATTTTCAAAGTTTGTATCTAATAAATGAGCTAATTAGAGAATTTTCAGGATGAATTGAGGATTGTGTTTTTTTTAACATTGTACTGATCTTAATAATTCGATGCGTTAAACACAGTTTGCTAAAATACGTTCTACATTACAAAAGTTTTGTACATGCTATTATAACTTCTATAATCTACTATTGAAATTTTTTAGGAATATTTAATAGCTCATAAATCTCTCTCTCTCTCTCTCTCTCTCTCTCTCTCTCTCTCCACAAGGTTTCTTTTCTATCTTTCAGAATTGTAAAACCTGTGGAAGAACAATAACAGCTGATTCTCCCGGACTTTCACACGGGGATTACCATTGGCATGCTTGTCCACACTGTTTTAGCTGTCACGGATGTGGCCGTAACCTAATTAACCAACAGTTCCTGCTGAAGGAGGGACAACTTTTTTGTTCTGTGGACTGTAAACAACGAACGGCAATTGACTGGTCACAAAATGGAATTCAAAACTTGCATATTCATTGACCTGCAGATAATTTAAAAAAAAAAAAAAACAAAAGCCAAAAAATTTGAAAAAAATTACAATACTTATTTTGGCTGATGAAAAACTTCATTCAATGTATTTGAATTTGATTTCCTGTTGACAAAAATCACTTTATACTGCAAGGACCACTTTCATTTGAAACGATGAAATATATAATTAAGCCTGTTTTCTATAAACGATAGAACTATCGGACAAATTATGTGATGTCTTTATCCTTCATCTTAAAGTTATTCGGTGTGTGCGAGTCTGATCAATATGAAATGTGTATCTTTTCATTTATCGGGCAAGTGTTCCAATATGACTACATGATCTTTATACATACATACATATATTTAAAAATTCATGATTTTTAAATGCCATTTAATACCTAAGACCATGCTATAGGAAAGGTTAAAACAGCTGATCAGCAAGCACATTAATTTTCTCCTGTAGAAAATCCTAGGTGATCCTCATTTATTTATTGTGTTTATTCCGGTCAAAAGAAGATTTATATGTAGTTTGACTTGAGAGATCTGAAGTAATTTGCTCAGATTACAATGACATCAAATATTTATTCAGATAGAGGAAATACCTACGAATATTTTGCCTTTACCTGGTGATTAAACTTGGTCATTTTTTTCTCAATCTCTCACATTGTATTTCATAAATTTAGGTTGGGTTTCAAAAACAAAATTTCAAATTCCTACTTATCTGATACTTATAAACCGAAAGTATAATAGTCTGGTCCGATTTACAGAAAAAAATACTTCTAACGGCAAATAATTATTATTTGGTCCAGCATAATTTTTTCACCTATTTCGAGTATGTTGAATCTAAAAAAAAATGTGCTGGCCTTCATGAAAATTGCGTTAAAAAGGTCAAAATGGCGATTCAAAATGGCGGACATCCAATTTTTCTAATTTTCTCTTAATGTCGTTCAAATAGGAGAAAGAATGTGTGAATATCTCACTGAGTGTAATGCAACTGTAAAATAATAAAAGAATGCTTATATATATTACTTCAATTCAGAAAATTTAGTCGTTTCTACACTTAATTCGAATTTTCTCTGATGTATTTGTCTATTGTTTCTATATTCTGCTTTGTTCAGAATTTTACATTTGCAAATATCCATACACTGCAGATTGGTTTATTTCCTCTGCATCTCACTATTCTACAACTGAATGATGGTACAGCTGTAAGTTATAATTTGAATTTCGGAAAAATCTCTGCAATGGCCCATTCATAAGTTTGCAGCAAACAACCAAGAACATCCATTCCATCTCATTGGACTTAGTAATGTGAGGTAACCACTACATCAGCCTATCTTTATATCACCTACTGCCTGGCATTGTGCTCGCTTTCGTTAACGCTAGATGGTACAATGTACAGGTAGGCGAACACGAGTTATCGTTCATTATGTAGTAGATATATTCACTCGTGCGTGGAATATTCGACATGTGTTAAAATACATGTATACGTAAATAAATGAAATATTCTTCATTAATATTAATATTCACAGGTAATTTACATTTATTTCACAGGCAATTTACAATTGGTAATTATATATTAAGTCGTACAGGTAAAAGTAGAAATACTAATCCATATAAACAATGTATCCATTTGAATTAATCATCAAATATGGATAAATTGATGACAAGCGTGGATTTATTCAAATTCAAAATAAAATTCGTTGAACTATATTATTTGATATATTTTTTTTCGATATCCATTTGTATTTCGATTGATGCAATGTTTATGTGTATTGGGAATAGAAAATCCGCGGGGGGGGGGGGGGGGGGGTATTTTCCCCTGCAAACAGGCACGTATCGTTACATATGAACATTTAAAAAACATATGTCTAAAGGCTGCTTTAAGATCTCGCCCCCATTTTTACAGCCAATCCAACCCTGATGACCTATGCTCGGCACTTAGGTCCATTGAGCAGTGAGGTATCTTTTTCGTGCCAGCACCTAGTGGGATACGGGACCTCGGTTTATATGGTCTCATCCGAAGGACCGGTCTCCACGTCCCGCAGTGGACCAATTCGAACCCGCGACGTAAGGATCAACTCCTTACTCCGCGACTCTAGAGCAGACGCTCTTACAACTGCCCCATGTAGGCGACGATTCCATAATTGAAAGATGGATTTTTTTTTAAATCGACTCAAGTTGTAAGATAGAAATTACTGTAGTATTATTTTTCTTTATTTTAATAATATACTCATACCTAAACTACTACTGAGAAATATGCCTATATTAGTAAAGAAACATTTTCTATCTTCTTTTGATTTCAAAAGTTTTTTTTTTCTATTTTACCTGAATGTCTTACTTAGCGCCAAGATTTTATTTTCACACAAAACTCACGGTTTACCGAGGTATATCCGAACGCAATACAGCAAGACATTTGTTAATATATCAACTTATATTCCTCGTCATTTGCTACTCCCAACTTTTCTAGCTCATGTACATTTCACACTAGGTGATTTCGAGCTATTTTTTCTCTCGAAAGTACAAATATATATATTTCTAAACAATGCACCTAATTTCTCTACCTATTTTTGACAGGTATCAGATTAATGTTAGACATTTGTTTGTTTGTTTAACGCCCCTTCGAGATTGTTTACTCATATTGAGACACCAGCATTTACCGGTGGAGGGCTGCAAATTTAGACCTGAACTTGGCACTCTGGGCCTTTTTAGCAGTGTGGGATTTTTCTTCTTCTTCTGTTTATACCGTATCGTCCGAAGAACCAATCTCTACGTCCCGTGAAGTGAATGGAACTCGTGACGAAAGGATCAACTCCTTTCTCCACGACTCAAGACTTAGTCGCTCTAACCACTGCGCCACACGGGCGACAATTTAAACTGATGTTATAGATGTCATTATCCCAAAATCCCTGAATTATGTATCATCTGAGAGTACCTCATAAAATACGCTTAACCTACATCGCACAAACATAGGGATACTGTCTTGATCCCAGATGGTTTTTTCCAAGCTATCCGTAACCAGCTAAAAACTAGCATAATATACACTATTCACCTATATATTTTGGACAGTCCCAGATTAATTAACATTGCAGATATATACTAGATTTCAGATCATTTCTCTTATCTACGCAGTGATGAAGCATCGTTTTTGAAAGGCGGGGGGGGGGGGGGGGGGAGCCAGAGGAAAAAAAAATACTTACCTGAAAAGGTTGACAAGCAGATAAAAAAAAGAAAAATTTGCCCAAACTCGAAAATCCTACTTCGTGGGGGGGGGGGGGGGGGGTAATTACAACATCTTGCAGTACCAAATTTATAAATACAATACTACATCATCCGTATTTGACCTTTACTGTAACAAAAAAAAGGGGAGGCAACTGGCCTTTCAAAGAACGGGTGGGGATCCCCTACCCCTGTTCCTACGTGCCTGCTACGTTAGTTTGTTCATGTTTCAGCTAATATTCCTGCAAAAAAGGCTAATTTTCTTACAGACCTATGACAGTCAAATGGTTAATCAAACATAAAGATATTACGCTCTCTCAAAATGTTTCTCCCATGCATCTACGTAGAATGTGCATGCTGAATTCATTTTAGCATATCCTGGAAAAATTACGATCTGAAATCCCAGATCAGTATACGCTTCTAATCAAAATACTTTTGCTTTTTACAAGATTAACATGAAAATATAGCCCTGATCGCAGATAATTGTAGCTTGTACCAGCTTAAAAAACTGTACAATATCCACCATTTCTCTACGTACTCTGAATGGAAACAATATTTATTTTATTTAAGAAAATAACCTTGATCCCAGATATTTTTTGTCACCTACCTCTAGTTTCATCAAACTAATAGCAGGGTTCGACACTAACTTTTTTAGGCTTTAGTCCGGCCGGACTAGTGCTTCTTTACTTTTACTAGTCCGCAAGCAATTTTATGAGTCCGTCAAAAAATGGAAACATCAATGTTTTGTAACATTAATTTAAAAACAAACATTGCAATATACGTTTTTATACTTTTTTTTAAAATAAACAAAGCATTTACGTGAAATGGTTTATTCCACAGCACAGATTTGTTGAAATCTCGCGATCAACAAGTACGATCGTATTCCCGATCTCGTTCTTTTTCTCTTTACATTACATCCAAAATGTCTGACATCTTTCTTTTATGTGTCATATAAATTATAATCGCTAAAACGTTTTACTTCATATCAATCAGTCGAAATATTAAGCGCTGACTCGAAATTGTGTAACTACCCGCCAAGAAGGTAGAAAGCTAAAAATAAATGTGGGGTTTTCCAGTAAAAGTCGTATCTAGAATCGGACATTGGTAAATTATTCATATTGTTTTCCAGGAATTTTTATTGGTCCGTTCGGACTAATTAGCCGCAGATTTTATTAGTCCGAATGAAAATGTATTAGTCTGAGACTAACGGACTAACGTTAGTGTCGAACCCTGTAATAGTCCAAGACAATACCCTACCTTCTATGGAGAGTCAGAAATAAAATTAACCTGAAGATAAGTCCCTGATCTCAGAGCTTTCTCCGACCTACCTGTACTTTGTACCAGATACGCAAAAATCCTACTTTCCATTGATAGATGCAGAATATATTTGGTATTGAAAATATTACCCTAATTTCGAAGGGTTTCCCCAACCTACCTGTAGCTTGTACCAGCTAATAGTTCAGGTCAAAGCTCGGTAATACCCTACCTTCTATGGAAAGTCAAAAGTTCAAACTTACATCAAGATCTGTTCCTGATCTCAGAGCATTCGCCCACCTACCTGTACTTTGTACCAGATAATATCCCTGTTAAATATGCGCCATAATCCTACCTGCCATTGATACATGCAGAATACATTTGGTATTGATAATATTACCTTGATCTCGAAGGGTTTCCTCAACCTACCTGTAGCTTGTACCAGCTAACAGTTCAGGTCAAAACTCTGTAATACCTAACCTTCTATGGAAAGTCACTAGATATGTCCCTGATATCGGACTTTCCTCCACCTACCTGTACTTTGTACCAGATAATATTCCTGTTAAATATACACCACAATCCTATGTGCCAATGATACATGCAGAATATATTTGTTATTGATAATATTACCCTGATTTCGAAGGGTTTCCCCAACTTACCTGTAGCTTGTACCAGCTAATAGTTCAGGTCAAAGCTCGGTAATACCCTACCTTCTATGGAAGGTCAAAAGTTAAAACTTACATCAACATATGTCCCTGATCTCAGTGCTTTCTCCCACCTACCTGTACTTTGTACCAGATAATATCCCTGTTAAATATGCGCCAAAATCATACCTGCCATTGATACATGCAGAATATATTTG